TTTTGGTTGAGTAAATCTGTCTCAAAACAACAGACTGACAAACCCAAAGAACTTAATGCCATTGACTTACCATCTTATTCCACTGTCCACTTGTTATGGACCAGCACCAGGATCTGTGATTACATTTTTTGATGGCATACGTCGTTATTTTGCATTTATGCCACTTTTTCGATAAAATTAGATTATTTGTGGTTAAGATGCCCTTAGGCTCAGATTTTGGCGAATGCTCCTTTGTGTCGAGTGCTGTAGTTGTGGGTGCATGATTTTGTATGCGCATTTTGTTTTCAAGAAATCACATCTTTTTAGGCAAAAGACTGGGTTTACCTAAATAACTCTTTTTATGGGTTAATACAAATGCTTAAGTTGTATCTTAATGCCTCTGATTTCATGCTGTTACACTAAATGCATGTAAATGAACTGGTCAAAGATTGCCTTAAGCATAATTCTGTTAGGTGTTGAGGAAGTTAAGAAGCTCGGTGTATGGATGCATCTGAATCCTGATGAATGATCCCACAGGGCTAAATATACTAAGAGGTTAGCTTTTAGAGTTTTAGTAACTGTCACTATTGCTTTCATTCCATCTCAATTCGTTGTAAAAGGAATATGAACTGTTTGTGTTTGAGAGCAAATTCATTATGTCCCTGAGGTCAGTATCAACTCTGGCATTATGCTTTTGTGCCTCTGTACATTAGGATGTGACATTCAGATTTTCAGGATAAAGTCAAGGAACGAGGTCTTTTGCCATTTCTTATTTCTTCACTATATACAAAACCTCATCAGTAATTGTATAGTTAACATAAAAAAAGAAATTAGCCAATACTGCACTCCTGGTATTTTCTTCAATGTTTTATATCCTGCACCAAAAGTAGCTTCCAAGCTGGCGTTTTGGAAAACAAAAAAGCACCTGTTTCTGTTGCAAAAATATCACTCATTTCTCTAATATCTTTGACCAGTTACAGAATTTAACAATATTCTAAGGGTTAAAGGCTTCACATTTCAGAATTGTCAGATCCTCAGGATAAGATGTGCAGGGCGGTGTTGAGCAGGACACACAAGGCCCTTACTAAGTTGGAATATAGGTGAAGATTAATGAATGGTTGTTTTGAGCAAAGCATGCTACATCCTTCTTATGAAGATCTTCAAAGAATTGGCATGTCCCATAAAA